TACTGTCTAGGTTTACTGGTACAAAACAGATCGTTGATGTAAACTTCATGCGTATCATGTGCCATATATCTTATTGGTGATCAGACATTCCCCGTGCGCTATTAACTTGGGGTGATTAGTGTTGATTAATATATTTTGTGAGCCTTTTCAGTCGCCATGCAAGAATAGAATTTAAAAATACACCGCACGTTCCTCAGATACAGAAAATGGTTAGAAGACTGCCAAATGAGAAGCCTAACGATTAGAATGAACACATATTTATTAGAGTTTAAACAGGGGACCTTATGACCAGCTAATTCAATCCATTAGTTTGGTAAAACGAGTAATTTTATTTAACACAACTGATTGTAGTCATACCATAAGCGTTTCTTAAATTTTGGTGTCCAGGAAAAATAAAATTCGAAAAACAATGAACAGCCACGAAAGTCCACCATAAAATACTAACAAACCTAAAACTAACTTGGTTGTCACTGCCACACAAAATTTATTTACAGATAGAGTTTAAACAACAAGAAGGCAAGCTACCACTTGCTAATCTTCTATAATACTTAATTCAATAATGTTATTAACTCGAGCCTCTCAAAAATTCTTCAATTAAAAAAACTGTTCCGTTGCTCAAATAGCGCTTTAACGACGTTAACACATGTTTTCAAAGGTACACCGGAAAAACAAAGGGATGCATTATTAAGCATCACTTTGTATGGCAACCTGCAGTTTGCTGCGTCAAGATGAGACTTAATACTTCAGGTTTGATTTGCTAAAAGACATTTGCTTTTGTCGTCTCTTACTTCTTCAGCCGACATCACGAGCCACAGACTGGGTGTTTTAGTGGACAAATGAAATTTTAAATAAATACTTCATGCTCAAATGAAAGTCTTTGAAGAGCGTAATGATATGCCGTCATTTCTAGTAGTCATTATTTCTGATTCCACGCCGTATGTAAAATCTATCACTCCGAACCAAAATTTTCCCGGTTCGACCGCAGTTACGACCCAAAGCATTTTTGAGTCCTTCTTGCCTTTTTCTGTTTCTGCACCCTTTGTTCTGCAGTCTGCCGTAAATTCTCCGCGGCTTCTAGCTAAGCTGTCCGAATACTAAAAAGCATTGTTCAGTTCGTGATTTTATGTACCGGTCACCCCGCATGCCGCTTGTTTTATTAGGTCAACACGCCAAATGGACGGGGCAGAAGACTTCCTAGTACGCAGCAGTTGCTCCTAAGATTTCTGTTGGTATAAAAGGCCACACTTTCTTAGCTTCTACGATCAAATTAACAGAAGACATCGACGAGAAGAGACCACGAAGTAACCATCGAGTGTAATTTCACTGGGCCTAGTGAAAAAGGCAGCTTCCGAGGAAGGGACCGACACGTGCAGTAAAGGTTCAGTTAAACAAGTGGCAGACTACAAATTCTCTAGTGATCTTTACGTCGTCCGTTTTATAATTATATTTTTTTTATTATTTACCAGTCTCTTTTAACTGCAAATACCTGAAGCTATCCTTGAGAACCTGGGTAATTATAAAACCTATATAAAACATTTTAGCGTTTTTATCATGCAAAATGGCTAACTTACAGGAGGCGTCACTATTAGACGTTAAGCAAATAGAAGACAGTGCAGCCTTTCGTACCACAAACCCACCTGAGTATTCTAGGGTTCGTATATGCAGACCCAGATATTCTGACTGGTTCATAAAGTCAGTGACTCTAACATATGTAGACACTGGGTAGCAACATATATGATTGCCAGAATGGATATAACATCACCATAAAATGTATTGCTTACAGCATACTTCGTTGCCGTTTCACTCATAAATCTCCCTAATTCTCCCCAGCTGAGTATGGCTGAACTTCTCGTCGCTCCAAGAAGTCACCTTCTTTACTAGGCTGATTCATAAATTCATCCTTTCGTTGATTTTCTTTTGTGTCTACATTGAATTTGGCGCTGTGCCTAAAGCTCATTTCCTATTCTGCACCAGAGGCTCTTTTACACCCGCTTACCTCCTTATTTTGTGCCAAACTCAAATCCCCCAAACTCTTGAATACTGCATGGGGCAGAGCTTCATCTGCCGATCTACTACTTCTCGGTCAGGCTCCAGCAGAGGATCTCCGAGTAATCAATTTTTCTCCCCTAACCTCCACTCTACAGCCAGTTTCCTGTCGCTGGGAAGTTGCTTCACTATCACTTTTCCTACCTTTATTATCTTTAATTTGCTCATCAGAACGGGCTTCGGCGATTACTTTTCCAAGGATTTTTCCCTTTCATATCTTATTCAGGCAGCCTGTCACCCGTGCCAGATCTTCACCAATAGATGTCAAAATTCTTTATTTCAGTCAGCCTTTATTTCCTAAACTGCAAGGCTTTTGAACACTCCCGTCCTCTCTGTAATTTCAAACATACAACCTTTCTGTTTTTAAAAGCACAGTCAACAACCTGAAACCTGCTCGAATGTTTTCTACAGATATTCCCTTGACCATCAGGTTTATCTTTTTTACCGTGAATCACTTTACTTGTAATGAGAAGGCATGGCTTCCCATTCCAAGCCAATGAACAAGAAAAAGGTAATGAAATTTCAACGACTTAAAAAATCATGTCGTTTCTTTTTGAGTATCAAAATATATAAAATTAGACTGATAGAATACTGTCTGTGGTCAGTAGCAGGTGATCCAAACTAGCCAAAATCTCGCCAAGCATCTCCTACTAACTGGTCAAATAGAGGCCACTATGAAACAAATTTTTTGGGGCTTTTAATCGCTTGTTAAAATTCGACAAAGCAAAGGTTTATTCAAAAGCTTTATGACGGCGATAAACCTGAGGGCCAAATATATGAGCCAAACACAGAGAGATTCTCGTTTGATCTACGGCTGTCTTCCTTAGACTTTCATTATTAAACCTTTATCGAGGATTATGATGTACGCTCAAAGCAGTCTTTGGTCTCCCCGAGAGTTATTGGGTTTGACGACTATCAGTCGCTGGTTAGAATAAGAATTCAACCTCAAAATGTATTTCATATTACTCAGTCATCAGAATAACTTAAATGAAAAGCTGTTTTCACACATGTGACTTTCATAGCTAAAACAGCCGCCATGATCTCCAGCAACACCGAAGCGGCAGATTGTGGGATACCTGTAGGCACTGGTAATATGATGTTCAGGCAAAGCTGCCAGAGCCCATATGTGCTTCCCATCACCTTGGGAAAAAACTTACGGGAAGTGAATATCCTCGATCGGCACAAGAAAGACCATTTAGTCCCAGAGTGTTTCTTTGTGAGACTTTCCAGGGACTATTTTACTGACGCCCTATAAATTGGAGAACTTCACGCCCTATCGAAAAAGTGGTTTGCAACATGGAAACACATCTAATGCTCTTCTTAAAAGTCCAAATTATATGAGGATATTGAGCATCAGAAAGCACTCGGATAATGCCGAGTAGTTTCTGTGTATGTTCACAAATGACGTTCATTTCTCAAATGGAAATTAGTGAAAGCTCAATAAGTAATACCTCAAGATGAAGCGGCATAAAACAGCTTGCTGAAGTTAAACATTTAAGTGCATAAGCCAAAAAATTCTCGATGTGTTCCAAATCAATTTGAAAGAAGTCCCTGGGATGTTACAAATGACATTATATTGGAACTGAAATGGGACTAATTCGAGACATTTTGGAGACCACTGTACAGCAGTCCCCACTCGGTAGTAACCCCTGGAGCTCACAGCCCATTTGTAACATGCGTTTCTGCCGGGATTTCAGTAGCTTTCTTTCCAGAAGTCAGAAGTGAGCTGATACGAAAGAAATCGACGACCAGGATATTGCATATTTGTTGAGGAGCATTTCGTTTATACACGCCGAAGTCGATCGGTTTTTGATCTATCCTTGAGCAGTTTCTGGATGGTTTCTGAGTAGTTTTTGAGAGTTTCAAGAACGGTTTCCGAGCGGCTTATGCCAATTTTGTGATATATGTGATATGCTTTACTACATTTTGTCACTTTCCCAGGACCGTATCCCAACTGCTGACATTTATTCCCAAAACTATAAGTTTCCAATTATCCTCACTTTAGCCATTTTATGAAGCATAAAAAAAACAATCTGCACTTTGATTATAAAAGGCATTTCATAGTAGTCGAATTAATACATTGAAGAAAATTCTCAATAAACAGTATACTGTAGTCCGATCGTCGATTTTCTTCGTATCAATTCACATTTGACTTATGAGGAATGTCTAATAACTTAACCGGAAGGAAACTGTTCCGGAATCGATGTTACGAACGGGCTATGCGCTACAAAGCAACGTAGTTTTGGATTAGTGAAAGCAATTGTTAAAGCATATGACGTATTTCACGCGATCAATTAATTCACTCGGAGACCGGCCAGAAAACTTTCAGGAACCACTGAGAAACCATCCAGAGGCCGCTAGAGAACCGGTCGTGGAAACAGCGCAAATCACTGGAAAACCAGCAGAAAACCGATGGGTTTCGGAGCGGCTTTCTCAAGTAGCACACCCCAAGTGTACCCCATGCGTGCCCCATGAGGCAAATTTGGGGCAGACGTGGGGCTGCCCCACGCTTGCCATTGAAAAACTTGGGGCAATCCTGGGGCTAGTCCCGACCTTGAAGTAGCCCCACAGGGCACGCTGGGGGCATGCCTCAGGTTTACCCCAAAGTTTGAAAAACGTGCTACTTGGGTTAGTATTAAAGGAATTGTGGGCACTCCCAACTCTTAGCCACAACAGGTGCAAACAATGCCCACACATTCCAGTACCACCGTCAGCGACTGCAAAACTTTCACACCACATGTGTGAGCTATCTTCACGCTTTCCCAATCATCCACGCCATCTGAGAAAGATAAGCATCGCCCACGTGCAGCCTGAGTGCTAACGTCGAATGTCTCCGAAGGCCTAAGAACGAACCAGTTTCTTTTTCATCTATCCACCAGTTAACTTCGGAATAATTCAATTCTCATTTAGGACCCGGAAATTATATTTCCTCAGGGTAGCAAAAATAAACTTACACGGGGCACCCTTCTTCTTTAATATACCCTTCTTTGAAATATTGATTGAATCCATTGTTCCTGTGCCACTTTTGCAATAAATGGCGAAATAAAACGCTTTCCAAAGAAACAACGCTGCACAAAATGGGTATTTTTAGTGGGTTTACCTATACAACAGAGGCACACAATTTTTAATGTTTCGCGATAACATAACCTTGAGAAGTACATGCATGTTGGCGGCACCAAGATCAGATAGGGCCCATTCAGTTTCGTGCGGTCTGTACAGAACTTTGCTTGGCTACACCCAATCACGTTTCCATATGGTTGTATTGACGTCACGTATCTATAGCTTTCAACACTGGGACTTTTTTTCTTTTTCTGCAAGGCAGGAAATTTGTGTAGTATCAATTCCGGCAGATAAGGTGGGCAACGATGAGTGAAGTGTCTCTGGCTTTGAAGCTAAATGACCTAATTTGTGTTAAGCTTCCACTCAACACCACTAGACCGCTTTCTTAAGATCAGTGTCAGTTGTGATAGTTTCTGCCTCCCAGAGCTTATTCCAAAGGGGTATCACTATCCGAGAAATGATTTACCTTAATTTATCGCCTTGAGTTCCTTGTTCATGAACAAACGGCGTGCCCCTTTTTGTCTTTCTCTGTGATCGGGGAGAAAACGTATTCTCCATCGTTATCCGTTAGTCCCTTTGCTACCTTTGAAGTATCTATCAGACCCCGCGAACACCTCCTTTTCTTTGAGAATAGATCCAGTGCTTGCCGACAATCCATGTATCTAGCCCTGCATTACCCAGTAATCTCTTTAGTGGTTAACCCTGATATCTTCTCCGGGCTGTCTCATCTTTCTGACGATACGGTGCTCCGGCTTGTAAGCAGTACCCCAGGTGCTGTCTGAATATGGCATGGCAGATCGGAAAGAAAATCTCCGGCTCTCCTCAGCACACGGTAGTTTCAGCACGAAAGAGTTCCTTCCGACCCATTTACAATGCTGCCGTGCACATTCTGACAGTCTGAAACCGTTGTTGGCAATAAGCCCAAATAGTTTGACTTAGGGTTCATTTGCACCTATTGCACGTCATTCCAGTGGGCCACGGTGTTTGTGGATAGACGTTTGCTTTTGGCAGGTTTCAGTGGACGATCCCGCTTTCGCTACCATTTTTTACGGCTTATGTGGTAAGCTCTACTTCGGCTAACTCGACTTCGTCGGCAGAAATAAAGGTGGCCTGGGTAGATCTTTGATGGAGATGAGAGAGAGGCCAAGCACTGACCCCTTTTGCACTCCGTTGGATACATCTTCCCATTTCGAGACATAACTACCTACATTACCACTAAACGTTCGCCCCTGAATATTCTGTTTAACTTTGGCCTTGCCTTTCCACCTACTGCCGTGGGCTGCAGTTTGACTTCCAGAAACCCGTGGTTTACTAAATCAAGCGCCTTTCCAAAGTCCCCTTAACAAACATGACTTGGTTTCCCCTTTGAGATATCTGACATGGTAGTTCAAATCATAGGTTACTCCCCAGGAAGTGACCACAGGAAGGCGTCAGGAAGCTTTTGACGGTAAGTTTCGCCTAACCAATATTCTGCCTTCTGGGATAATCTTATCCACACCCTTCCATCGGAAAGATACAATGAATTCCTCCTGCAAAGCGACTTCCAGCCAGCCACCGACTCGCTATATGCCAACTTATCCGACCGGAAGTATGCAACTACCAACGCTCTCGTCAGATGAAACCGAGTCCATAGTTTGGTCCTGACCAATATGCGAAACACACAACCAAAGCTACAGAAAGCTTACAACAACTATAAGGGCTTTTTTCATTCTCGCAGCTGTACCTTCACTCAGTAGCAACCAGAATCAAATCCGACAACATGCTGTAAAACCAAAAGTATCGGGCCGGCAATGCCATGATACTTTTTCAAAGCGCGTACAACCACCTAAGAACACCAATATGCGCTAGTCCGCTGGTATTCACTTTCCATTTCCATGAAGCTACGTGCATATCACCTCACCTGTGGCGGTGGCCGGGGCACTCAATTCCTACTTTGACTATTCCATGGCTTTCGTCCGCCTCTGCGTACCCCCACTAGTAGCCCCCGTCATCGGGTTCTTACTGTCAGCACTAGAACTCGCCATGGATGAGGTGACAAATCAGGTTGTCGGTGCCCGACAGTCCCCTCTACGTGGCCATAATGGCGTTCCACCAACACTTATACGTCCCGAAGGAAAGGACTATGCAGCCCTACTGCTAAATTTCCGCCCCCTGGCCCTCCAGTGTAGGAACTTCCTTCACTATGGAAGGCTGTGGTCACCGCCCTGTTCATAGGAAAGGATCCAAACAAAAATCTTCGAACTGCCGCCCCGTCAACTACACTCCAACCGCATCCAGATTTGTGGAGCCCCTCGTCTGACAGCAGATATCTGAATTCTAACCGTTTCATAATATCATCCATATTGGGCAGTCTGGCTACTTAGAACTACATTCATGCTGCAGTTGCCAGTGGGACATTTTCAGCTTCACAGCCACGACCGCAGACAACAATAAATCTATCATTTTTATATACTTTGGTCATGTCCCGCCCTCCTTTTGCCAACCAGGCTCAGGGCTCATTGCTTCTCCTGTTCCCTTTTATCGTGACTGAAGTCGTACCTATATGGGTGTGCAAGGAAGTGTACCTGGTCCGTTGTCTTTTTTCATTTACATTGATGATATATGTTCCATTTTGCGTCATAGGGCCCCGTTCCTTCTCATCAGCGACATTAGGGTTGCCCAAGAATTCCATCATCAGAATCTGAACACCATGGTGCTTGAAGCATCATCTGATCTAAAGCTACCCGGAGACCGCTGTAATTCTTGTCATAAGATCTTACCAAACTCAGAATTTGTTCCGCAACCTTCATTTTCAACATCGCCCCCAAATCTTTGTTGCTGAGCCAGTTGCGACCTGCCCCAAGCTTCTCAGTCTGGTACCTTAGGACTGACCACTGTTGCATCTTTCAATGTTCGGAGAATGTCCCGTCAAACCGCCAGGGGCAGGCAATTGACGAACCTCATTTTCCGTTCACTGAAGTTCGAGCGAGTTGAATTTCCCACATTATCCGCCTTTGGCTGACCTTCACTGGAACACCGTCGAAACATATAACCTAACCTGTTCAAAACTTACCACGTTCCCATTGAAAAGGCACAGTGTTTCTTTACCAAATAATTTACTGGTTGCTTTTCGCCCGCATCATATAAAGAACGCTGTGTTTATTTGAGCCTCAACCCCGTATGGCCAGAACATGTGAAGCTCTACTTTTTCTTCCTATATAGATTTATCCTCCAACATGCATTCTTATCTACTGACTCAGTAGGATTCTTTCTACCATCGACTTACCCTATACGTTACATGAACACCGGGCCTAATATCCCCAACTAATTTCTTTCTTGTAAAATACTTCAATCTACAGAATGCACCTCCACGTGATATATGCTAATCACCATCTCCGGCTCAGCTTATTAAAGCCCTGTAATCAAGCCTTACTGGTAACAAACTTTCGGTACTGCCTTCCGTTACCATCTCCGAAGACCGAGCCTTTGGAGAAGGCGTCGAACTTTCGAGTCGGGGATCTGTTCAACCAGGGGTTTTTCATGAAACCGCCAATTTTTGGTTATCGATCAGAGTAATTTTTCTGCGTCACATTGTATTGGCCTTAGCCTCATCGCTCTATTTTCCTAACTTCTGACCTCTTAGGCGTAAATGCTAACACCTATATCCAAAAAGCCAGGCATACCTTCTTTCTGCTCGCCAATATGAAGGGCAGTATGATTTCAATGATTTGCTTTACCATTACCGTAACACCTCTAGTAGTGTCTAGCACCATGTGTGTACATGTGCAAACACGGCGGGTGGGGGATCCATGGGATACTTAAAAATGGGCTGAAATACTTTACAAAATAAAGTGATAAGTCAGCATCCAATGCCGAGAACGTCTCTCCCATTACGCGGGATTTTGAGGAAGTGGTCGCATCCAGATTTCAGCCTAGACTCAAACTAGCGTGTTTGGAAGCCCCTGAACAACTTCTCTTTTTTGTTTGCTAGATGCGTCATTTGCTGTTCCGCCTGGGCCCACGAGGGTGACGGTGATAGAGCTTCTTATCTGCACTTGTAGACCGTTTCCCTGATTCTTTCAGCTTCTACGTCCTCCATAAACTATCCTCGACATGCATACTGACGCCACCTGGGAGGGCCAACGTGAACCCACGGCCAAGGATTTTTCTAGCGAACTTGACTGAACATCGACTGGTACAGTAAAACACTACTTCTGTACAAGATCTAAAGTGCCAGAACTTAGCCAACTTTTCCTCTCCTGAATTGTCCGTTTTCGCTTAAACGACTGAACCAATTTGTTTTATCCCCAGGGCCAATAAATATAGCTAAAATCTTTGCCTTGCTAACAACACTTTTACCCATCATCCTAGAGACAAACTACCTTGATGGTAGAAACTTTTCCAAAAAGGTGGTCGCCGACTGCTCAGATAGGGCGGATAGGCGGTTACTCTAGAAATGCAACGCTATTCAATGAATACGCTGAAAATTGTACCACTAATAAGTCCAGAGAGGGAAATCACCCTAAAACCATAAATTCCACTGCACAACCTTGGAAAGCTGGGTGACGCACCTAAAACCGGATCTTGGTTTCGTGGACCACGTTCCTCAGTCTGAAAAGCTGGCGCTGGTTGAATCCATAAAATACTTTTACCACAATCCCAAACTGGAACACCTTCCAGACTGCCGCTCTAGCTCGATCTGCTTTGAAGCCCGTTGAAATCTGGTTTGCTCGTAACAGTGCATGGCGAAACTCCCGAAAGCCGAGGTATCTGAACATGGAGGAGACAAACCATGCCCAACAGCTACAAAAAAGCCGCCGTGAAAAGTTATGGTCAGGCGGTGGGGCCATAGGATGTTCTTTGCGGTCTCAGCTAACCATTTGTTCATGAAAAACAAAACGGAATTAAGACCTCCGGACTTCCGCATTTTCACTAGTCGTTTTGCTCACGCTGACCCACAGGTTAAACACCAACCATATTACTCCCCATTCCCTGCCGTTTTAACTTCAGAACCGCCCTATCACTGTACCGCTTTGTAGTAATATATCACGCAGAATGCCCATATTCCACCCCACTCGTTTACAAACACGCCTAATGCTGACTGT